TCTGGTGAAAATTTCATGTCATTAGCACCTCTAGTAATATATTTACTGAGAAAAATGGTGACGTGTTCAATACTTATTTTACCCGCTGTATCTCCTGGTTCTGTCTGATGAAGTTCTCACTGAAGACGTCTCCAGAACTTTAAATGGATGTTTGTTCACTTTTATCTTATTATCTAATTATTTTATCTTATCATGTTTACTTCAGTCATTTTAAATTAAAATGTTTGTAGCTCTTTAGATTTTCATGAAGGTTTTCAGATCTGTGGCAAAAAAACCTAAGAAATACTGTATTTATTTATGTAGAATACAATCATTTTTGAGCTTAAAAAGCGTTAAAAAACTAATTATCATGTTATGAGCCACCTCTCATTTCAAACAGACTTCAGGACTATTCGGTCTTTGCAGAGCGCCCTCTGGTGGTGAAACATTATTTGAGGAAACAGGAGTGTGGGCGTGTTCTGCTGCAGAGTTAGCAGAGGTGAAAAAACAATCTGGTCCCAGAGCAGAAACCACTTGTTAATTAGCAAGTTGGATTCATCAGAACATGCAACTAAAGTTCAAGTCTTTTTTACACTGCTGTGGTTGATGAGAGAAAGAAAAAAAATTTTTTCTCCTCTGACTCCGATGAGTAAACAGCTACTGTTTATATGCTTCACTATTCACAACTTACAGCGGGAGGGGGAATATTTTTATTAGTTGTATGCAAGGAAATATTGAAACCTATTGTGTTTGTACATTAAAAAATTAGTCAAAATTTACTCCTGTGTATAATACTACCACCCACCCCCACTTTATGAATGATTTTTGGGGTTAAATTTCTCGTATTATATGTGAATAAATACGGTAAGAAAGGTAAATATATATTTAGATGAAAATCGTAAGCAATAAGTTTCCAGTGGTGTGTGTTTTAACTGATAAAGATCTGTTGATAAAAGTTCAGTTCATGTTTCTGTTTAAATATGATTAATGTTAAGAAAATATAACCTGGATCAGGTTCTTGGACCTTGTCTAAACTGATCAGTAAAATATTGTTCCGTCTCGTTGTGGATCCAGGATCATGTCTCCTGATGTGCGTTTGTAAAAACCACATTTACAGATTTCTTTTGCCTTTGATGCTCCGACATGGAGTCTTCAGGCAGAATTAAAGGGTTCAGACAGGAAATTGCAGCTCAGGATTTAATACCTACTGACTCGCTGAAATCTTTCTTTTTAACTTTTGCTTGTGAAACACTTTGTGCACTTTTTGTCTATCAGAAAGGGCTCTATGAATAAATGTGGACAGGCTGATTGCATACTGTACAGGCAGAGTTGCACATAAGGGGTGCGCAGGTACGCGATTAAAAAAGAAAAAGCGCACCAGATGGGATGTCATAAAGCTCCCTTGCGTACCTAAGATTGTACCTGGTTGTCTGTCAAAACAACAGCTAGCAGGGTTCTAGAGTGCGACCAGTTTGGTCGCAAATGCGACCTGATTTATTTTAAATTAAATTAAATTAAATTAAATCTACTGCCTTCAACAAATCAGACGAAGTCTAGAGCCGTTTTGTCCAATCACAGCAGAGCAGGGTGGGACTTTCAGTCAGAGCGGTTTTCAGCAGAGGCAAAGTGCAGGTTGAAGCAGCGGCTCGAGCAGCAACTACAGCGGTCAGTCCTGACATCTCCTCCTGCACTTTGCTCCTGAACTACCACAGACTTTGGTCTGTAAAACATAACTTTTTATTAAATATGTGTTCAGAGTGTTGTTATTGAACAGATCTGTCCAACTCTGTGTGAGTGACTAAACTCCTCCTGATGAGAGACTGCTGTGACGGGAGCGCGTTTCTGCGTGCGCAGGCTGAAGCCTGAAACATACTCGCTCCGACGGCGACGGGTCGACGCACGGTCACGTGGTTGTTCGGCAGTCGTTTTCGCACAGACCTTTCATAGTCCCTACAACACCCCTGCGCCGAGTTCGGGAAACCCCCCTCCCTGAAACATACGTCACTGCATGGAGTTCCCCTGCAACAGCCGATAATGCAGGAAAAAAAAGTCAGACTCATAACTCACCCGATGTATTTATCCACATCTGTCCTGGTGAAAGCTCCACAGTTTTTATCAGTCAGATTCCTCCGTGCACAACGTCTGTTTTATCTCTATTCATGAGTTTTACACGGAATGACTATCTTTATAAAACTCTTCTTCCTGGTGTCAGCTCTGAGAGCGAGTCGGGTTTTTTTTCCCCTCTTTTTTTTTTTTACCGAGTGCAGCAGCACGTTCATCACAAACAAACAAGCCATAAGTTTTTCACGGTTTGACATCTTATAAAACTCTGCTTTCTAGTCTGGGAGCGAGTCGTTCTTTTTTTTTCCGAGCGCAGCACAAACAAACACATCCACAACCAATCAGACCAATCACACGTTACCGTCGACACAGGTGGGAGGTCAAAAAGTTCTGCCGGCGGGTTGTGCCAAAAGGGGCTGTCGACACGACGCTGAGAAGCCCGGTGACGTATTTTTCGTCATTAAATTGCGACAACTTGTGCCGACGTCGGCAGTTCAGGGAGTATGTTTCAGGCTTGAGTCTTTCTGTGAGATTCACTGTTTGAGTTCTTCTAATTAAACTACATTAACCAAGAACATTTGCTTTCCCCATATTAAAGCAAACATGATTCTCTGTTTAACATCCCAGTCAAAAAAATTATATATATTAAAAAAAATAAAAACATTATAGTACATCACACATCAACAGTACATCTGAGGGTGGCGGTGTGTGTGTGTCGGGGTCTTCTTTTATTTTATTTATTTTTTACTCCCCCGTTCCCCGCTGGCCGTCTGGGGATGGGGACCTGGGAGGTGGGGGCTGACTGTCTGGTGGGGCCTGGACTGCGGGCGGATGTGGTGCTCCGGCTTCCCTGGGGC